CATTACGCATTGATTAATTTCCATTTTTTCCATTCTTTTCTTCTGATCAACTCTTAGGTCTTAGAGTCATGATTTTTCTCACGCATTCAAATGTATGTGTATTTAATTTTAGATAATAAATTATGATTAATTAGCCCCGAAATAAAATAATATTTTCTAATTATTACTATCATCAATACCTTGTTGGCCTCTAAACGTAAGAAATCGGATTATATTATGAATCCAGTTGAATAATGGAAACTGTTTAAAAAATGTCGACCATTTGTGAACAAATAAAAAATAATAATTCTGAAAATTTGCAAATAAAATAGGTTTTTCCAGAGTATTATGCGCTGAACAAAAATGTACTAAAAATAATACAAATGACATCCATCTGGCGGGAAATGTTTGAAATAAATTTCATACAAACATTTGACATTTCAAATTAAAACCATACGCTTTCCAAAAGTCTGCAGTCAAAACATCGCCATTTTCTAAGCAAATCACTCTTAATTTACTTGCGCGTTTGTACGAAAGTGTATTAATAAGTTTTCGTGTAAAGCAGGAATTTTCCGTGTAATTATATCAGAAATAAGCTGAAATTGTGTTTTATTTCAACGGGACGTAAAGCGAAAGCATAAAATATAATATGGGCGATTGTAAGTACTATATATTTTTTCTTATTCACATGCTAAAAATATATATGATTTTCTACATGAAAAATTTAATTAAGACAATAAAATATGTCCAACCACTTAAGAGAAAAAATTAAATTTAAATTAATTTAGAAGAGAAAGAGTATGTTTTCAGTACAAATATTAAAGATTTTTTTATAATAACTTTTCATTAAAAATACTATTTTGGTGTAGATTATGGCTATGGAAACGGCGGCTCAGGTGGCGGCTCAAGCGGTGGTGCACCAACACCAAACTTCTCTGTTCCACCACCAAACTTTAGCAAAGGACCGAATTACCAAAACCAAAATTCACAGCAAAACAGCTATGGACCACCACCACCGCAAGGTAATTGGGGTCCAAATCAATCTCGCAACGATGATAGCTCTGGCTACGGAAGCGGAAACTACAATAATCAAGGGCGCAATAATCAAGGAAATCGTGGTGGTGGTGGTGGCGGCGCTGGTAATTTTGGAAACAGCCAACGTAAGTAAACAGTTAATTTAAAAAAGTTTAGAAAGAATCACAGGGAACTTGAGACAAAGTGTTATACCACTAAAATTTCAAATGCGACAATACAAAAATACAAACTAACATAATACGTAATGTGTAATGTCTCTCGCGACTTATGTATAAATTATACAGTATAATATCAGTTTTAAAATCTGATGATAAAAAGTGATGTATCACTTTATCCCACACCCTATGCACTGCAAAGCACTTCTTCTATATTTTTTTTCTGAATTGAACACGTTAAAAAGAGTAATTTTATTTTTATTTTTTAAATAGGTAATGAGAGCGGCTACAACGATCGTAAAAATAATTTCAGGTAGGCTATTTGTACACATTTTTAAATTAATTCAAATTTAATATTGGTTTGCAATATAAAATTGTTCATGATGAAAAAACCATCCATTTGTAACGCAAAAGATCTTATAACGAAAGTACAAATGAATATCGATGTGGTGATACAAACAAAACCAATCAAAAAAATGAACTAAGAATTGCATTTTTGAATCAGAGAAGCGTATAAGATCATTTCCTAATGGTAATCACACGGTTTTATAACCAGTACAATAACAAAATGAAAAGAAAAACAAATCACAAGGGTTAAATGAAAATTTTAATTCAAAGGTGTTATTTGTAATCCAAAGGTATTTTTTCAGAGGTAATTTTTAACATATTATCAACATTATTCGAACTAAACAAATACAAATTGTATCTCGCTAAACCAAAAACAAAACAAACATATAACGTTTTCTCTCCAACACAATTGAATAATTAGTGTAATGAAATCAACTGCAACAATCAAGTGTCATTTAAGCGTATTATGAACAACCCCCTTTTCCAATGGAATTCCGTACCGATTATATATGAATTTGGGTGAACGTCGACACATCGAGATAGTGACTCGACATGCCGGTGACATGACACAGTGAAATATACTAAACATATTAGATTACAAACAAAACATAGTTACAAATCCTCCACGCATTCTCTTTGCTTTTTAAAATATGTAAAAACTAAGGGTAGTATTTCAAACTTAACCCTAAGTAGAAATTATTTCTTACTTGCCCCAGAAAAAAACGATAAATATTCCGATCAATCCCCATTTGAAATAATACTAACTAATATTTTGATCCTTTCTCCAAAACGCTCTGATGAAAATATTTATGACGTCCACGACGCGAACTGACTTTGAGAAAATTGAACATCAACAAAAAAATCCATAAAAATTTACTATCTATTTATTTTTTTATCGCAAGAAACAAATAACACATATAATCAATGGTACTTCGTTTATGTTGTAGCGGCGGCAGTGTCAACAAGAGTGGTTATAATAAAGGTAAACACTGGCCTACAGGTCTGGTGATTGTTTGTATCATTTATTTTTTAATTTCTTTTCCAAAAAAGAAAACAAACAAGAACACAAGCATATTTTTTTACATCTTGTTTAGATATATAGGGCACTTTTTTCCTCCGAAATTAAGGTTGATTTTGAAGATTGTTAAAAATCTACGGTTGTGTGTTTGTTTCAGAGTAGTTTTTTTTTATTTAAGAAATTGATGACTGACTTTGATGTTTGCAAACCAATTTATTTGGCTCGAGTATAAATATAAGCACAGCAAAATATTGCGAATGATGCAATGTAATGGTTAATCACAGCAAACTATGACTCGCTTTGAACTAACTACCATCAATTTATGTGTAAAGATATCGAAGTGTATGCAGAATTCTTTTACAAGGTGTATTCAAATGGACCAAACTACAGTTTGAAAGAACCAAGACAGATTTTAGTTTTAATGTATTGGTATATACACAATTTTGTTTTCAATTAGGGGTCTAGAATTTTAAGTTGAGGATAACATCAAGACTCTCTGCTGAACACAATTTAATACCGTCGATTTGGTGTCATTGGAATCATTATTAAGACGTGTACAAAAAAACTCTAAGAATAATTACTATTACTTCAAATAAGATATATATTAATTACAAGCAACGAGTCACAAGGTTTCACATAGATCAAATAACACCCGTGTGGTTCCTATTTGATATGACGTACACATAAATTCACACGTTCCCAGTTCAATGTGATTATACTTTATGAATTTGCAGGTGTTTTTCAGTGATTGCATTTGCCACAAAATCTAGTATTAAAATAATAATTTTAATATTATTGATATTATAAAAGGTTTTTTTTTTCTGTGTAAAGTAAATACGAGTCATTTCATCTTGAGTGTGTCTCCAGTTGAGATATAATTCATTGAAACAAAGTGTGTATAAAAATCGTTGTTTGAAAATCAAACGTTGAATTCATCTCCACGGTAGCATATTTATGCTAGTACTATATCTTTTTGTCTAAGTATATGTTATAAAGCGTTTAGAACTAAAAGACAGTTACAATACATATATTTTGTGTGCATTTAGTATATGTATATACCGAATTATAGTATTTGTTTCGATAGGTTTTAAGTGAATGCAATTTTAAATGCAATATAATTAGCATATCTGTTTTTATTTTCATCTTTCATGTTGTGTGCACAGCAGGTGGATATGATAGCAGCAACGATAACATGATCATTCAGGAAGACACAATTTTTGTCAGTGGAATGAGTTCACAAACAACTGAAGAAGACATCGCATGTCACTTTGGTGCAATCGGTATTATTAAGGTAAGCCACTCGAGCAATGTTTATTGTTTGTTTATTAATTTAGCACAATTAATTCTTATTATAGAAAGATAAGAAGACAATGAAGCCCAAAATTTGGCTGTATCGTAACAAAGAGACCGGTGAATCGAAAGGAGAAGCCACAATTACTTACGATGACTCAAATGCCGCCAAATCAGCCATATCGTGGTTTGACAATAAAGATTTCAATGGAGCCAACATTCACGTCTCATTGGCACAGCGTCAAAATAACTGGCAAAAGGGCGGCAATTTCCGTAGTAATCCGCGCGGTGGTGGTGGTGCTGGTGGACCACCAGGTGGAAACAGGGATGGCGGCTCAGGTGGAAATCGTGGTGGTTTCAATCGAGACCATAGTGCTAGTGGCGCTAGAAATGATGACCGACGCAGCCAAGGCATTTCAGGTAAACAGATGACTTCAATTAAAAATACCCATGCTTGTGGTATAACTACACAGAAACAAATATTCGAGTACGGTTACTCGCACTTGCGGTGTTAGCAGAGAGACTACCCTTCAAAATGAGTTACGCACTCTATTTTACTCTATTTTTGGTGTTAATTTCATCCAAGTGAACGCATCGCAGTGAAAGAAGAGATACATGTGTAGTCATAGCCGCATGCGTTCAACGTACATATGACTACACATGTATCTCTTCTTTCACTACGATGCGTTCACTTGGATGAAATTAACACAAAAAATAGAGTAAAATAGAGTGCGTAGCTCATTTTGAAGGGTAAACTCTCTGCTAACACCGAAAGTGCGAGTAAGCGTACTCGAATATTTGTTTCTGTGTAAATTTTTTAAGACAATAATTGATATTTTTTTCTTCATGAAATAGGTGGTGGTGGTGGTGGTGGTGGCGGCTTTGGCCGAAATCAACGCGATGGTGATTGGACGTGTAGCAGTTGGTAATTTTTTTTTATAAAATTAATGATTTAGTAAAATAAAGTATTCATTTGTTTATTAAAACAATAGTAACAACACGAATTTTGCCTGGAGAAATGAGTGTAATCGGTGTAAAGAACCAAAGAGTGGTGCAGGTGGTGGCATGACCGGAGGAGGTAGTGGTAACAGCAGCTTCCGTCAAGGTGGTGCAGGTGGACCACCACGTGGGGGAAATTCAAATTTCAACAGACGAGATCAAGGACCTATGCGCGGTGCTGGTGACCGTGGTAACGACCGTAACCGCCCGTACTAAGATACACCGAATATTTTTTTTATCTTATGAAAGATTCATTCATACATAATAATTGACATTTTGCGAACATCAGTTTATTCTGGGAAATAAATATCACAATTTTCACCAAACGAATATGTATCAATAAATCCATAGATTCATGTACTATACAAAGAAGTTTTTTTATTCACAGAAAATCAAATCTCACCAAGAATTTTCGTATGTTCATTGCTCTGAAATATATTCTAGTCTTGAGATACTATGAGATAAATATATTTAGTTAACTGGAAGACAATATTGATTGGGCATTGAAAACTTTAATATTCGATTAATTTTCTTTTTTTAAATGGTTTTTTGTGCATTTATTTATCTATTCACGGGAATAAAAAACTTGATTGGGGCCAGATGATGTATGAAAGCATTTGAAATATTGTACGAGCATATCCTACATACATTTCTTCAACATAATTGAATATTGGTTCGCATTTGTACCACAAGCAATGCATCTACCTAGAGTTGATCAGAAGAAAAGAATGACAAAAATGGAAATTAATCAATGAGTAATGGAGCAGAATGGATAATGAATCGAAACGCGTCTACTTTTTTAGAAATACTTGATGATTTTTCGCTTCATTTCAACCTATAGTAAACAGTGTTTTTGTTGATGATGTATGTGCACCTCGTGTATCCCACATGAATATTAGAGAGAGGGAGAGAGAGATTTGCATTCGCTTATGTTTATCAGCATATTCTTTCCGAATATGTCACTTGATTCCCATTTTGGGTACATTTTGACAACGAAGAAAAAATAATGATAATTACAAGTGTTTTTGTCTTTCTATCTTTTGTTGTTGTTATTATTATGAAATACTAGTATTCGAAGCTCATTTGGTATTTTATGTGCATTGAATGACTAAAATTAACTGCATTTTATTAACCAAAGTGATTGGGTCTTTTTCCATTTTCAGATTAGATTCTCATCGTTTGGTTTTGCCCCATTTGCTTTGTCTTTTTCATTCGTCACTATCATTATTTTTTTCTCGTATGTTTGTGTGGTAAGACGTGTACACACATGAGCATCCATGCGTTTCAATGTAGGTATCAATCTAACTGTAAATTCAACAATATTTAACTCGTAAAGAAAGCCAAACAACATATTGGAATTTAAATAAAAATACTCGTGTTGCTCCAATCCTATTTTATATATTGAATTGCGTAGTCGTTTCGTCCCCACTGTTTTATGCTATAGCATGCGTGTTTCTTCATAGTTTGATGAATCAAATGCATCGATTCTCTGCTATTTTTTTCTCCTCTTAATCAAGTAAAGTATTTTGTCTCATTCTGTTGCATATTGTTGTCAATACACTGAAAATGGTAGCAAAGTTCCTTCTTCGTAATGTCGAATCCATTCCACTCGTGGTAGTGTGATGATGGATATTAAAAAAAAAATCTATTTTGGCCACGCTTGTGATCCATATGGATTTCATGTGGAGCTGGATTTCTCCCAGTGTGCATAGATGCATCACAATTTGGCTATGAAATGTTTAAGTTTTCATTGAAGTTTCAATTTAAGATGTTTTTGACTATGCTGGATGGAAAAGTTTGTGATTTTCATGATGCAAAGACTGGCAAAGAAAATAAGAACAACGGGGCCAAATGTTTGAAGAACACCATATAGAGTGTATTATATAGTAAAATACACAAATACACGCTCACACACACGATCGCAATAATAACAAAATAGTTCATTTAATGCTTCAGTTGTTTGTGGGTTTCTTAATAAGTTTCAGTTTTCTTTTGGGTACTGTTTTCGTTATTCGAATTTACCATTGGCATTGATGGAGCTAAAGAAGGAAAAGAGCATTTATATACTTATTTAGGTTTTTTTCTCTATTTTCTATGTTGTTTCTTTTTTATTTTTTTCAGTCTCTCTTCATCTGTTCCCTCTTCTTTCTTTTCACTATTTTACACAACTTTTCTAGCTGGAAACGCACACAAACCATGTGCTCCATATGTTTTCGCTCTCGCACATTCACATTAGTTATTAGTTTAAAAAAAAAAAAAAATGAAACGACTTTTCGAACTTTTGTTTGCTCGGAATTCTTATTGAAATTAGAAACGACATTTCTGTACATGGAATAGAAGGAATACAAAACCAAATGCTAGCTCGTTGCTTTTGTTCAGTCCACAAGACGCAACATATAGAAACTGCAATAGAGATCTCTCTCGAGAGAGAAGAGAAAGAGAAAGAGCAATTGCCCCATTGGATAGGGAAGGGAAACAAAGGCGATGAGAACGAAAACATGGAACTGAAAACGACGAGCACAATAAGTAAAATGAAAATAAATAGTTTTTATTTTAAATTTTCTTCATTTTTTCTCGTATATATAAGTTTGTATTGGTGAGAGGTTGTGTTTGGCATTCTGTTGAATGAAGAAGTAAAAGAAAAGGAAGAAGAAAAATTGTGCTGTATATTTAGATACTTTCCGAGTCCTAGAGTTCAATGAAACCTTCTCGCTTCAAATACCATAAATAAATAGCTATACACAATACAACTCACACAATACAGAGCGCTTACACTATTTTATGCGGCACTGTGAAAAATGAACACACATAGGCTTTTACATCAGAGCTCACTACTTCGACGTTTAGAATTAAACGGTGTTCTTTTTTAACTCTCTCTCTCTCTCTCTCTCTCTCTCTCTCTCTCTGTCCGTCTCTGTCTTTCTCACTCGCTACAATCGTTAATGTGAACACGGTTTGATTTGTTTATGGACGGGTGAAATCTGTATTCTTCCTTAATTGATTTAATTTCTTTTCGAATTTTCTTCATGGATTAGAAACATGCGAGACGATGATTTGAAGGATTTTGCAAGATGGTCACATTCTCGTTTCCAGGTGCCCAATGACAATCGATATTTTCGTTTTCTAGAGAATCCAATTAGAACGATGGATTTGAAATGCCGGGTGGTTTAATGCCGTATTTTATGTTAAAATTCTAATCCGAATAAATTACAAGATGTGAATGAGAATGACATTAATTATCGTTTCAGATGAATGCACATATTGTTAAATTGCGGCTGGTTTTTCTCAAAATATCAAACGCGAAAATATCCACATTCATTTTCATTTAAATTAAAAATCAATGAAACGAATGCTGGTAGCAAAATAATCGCATTGTTCTGAATAAATATGAAAAATTACTATTCAATACAAATCACTGTTTTACGCCCCGTTTCCAATGTCTTTCTTTCAATTGTTTTACAATTAGAATCACTGATACGCAATGTTCGCACATTGTGTGTCTGATAATTTATTGAATGGACAAACAGAGATTCTGAATTATGATAAATGACATCGAATTTCTCTTTGGGACCACATATTGTTGCTATTTCACCAAGCTCAACATGTGCAAGCATAAAATAATCACCAATATATTTTCAGCGTCACATCAATTGATGTTTCATAGCAGTATTAAAAAGGAACAATCAGATTTATAAATAGCAATCGTTATAATATACATATCCTTACAATAGATTCCATGAGAGGCCAAAGACCGTATTTATTGAACGTCAAAAATAGTACTTCAATTTATGCCCTCCCTCATGTCAATACCCAAGTTATCACAGAGTGAGCTGCATTCTTTAGTAAAAATGTGCATACCACATGGTTTTTGTTTAATTGGTGGTGACACACTCACCCTTATGATCTTTACCGATTCTTTCGTTCCTCCTTCTGTTTCGTTATAATTGTCCCGAACTGTTAGCTGCGTCTTATCTCAAGTTCTACACGCATTGCGCATACAAAAAATATTAGCGATAAAAGTTTCCGTTTTGTTGGAAAAAAGAAAAGGGTCGGGCCCATGATTTCATTTATTTCTACATTGCACAACAAAACGTTTTATTAATTTAATCGTTTTATTTAATATACCACTCTCTTAGTTCTAGATTTTTTTTTCCGCCGGATCACTTCAAATAGATGGAACATCAACAAGGGGAAATTCCGCATATGGCTTTCGTTTTCGAACAACAAACTGCTCTACTTCTAAATTTATTTTATTTATTTACGGGTGTCGTCAGCGCGCATTGTCTTCTGAACATTTAAATGATTAAAATCCCGTAACAATTCTCTAGCGTTAATTGCTTAGAAATGCGGGCTGAATATTTTTCAATTGTTGTATTGTACTTTAAATGCGCACAATTCCAATTTACATTGCATATTTCCCTGGTCGCCAATATAGAATATACATTTGCGCACATTGTATTACTTTAAATATTGAACAAATACCAAACAAACAATGATTATCAACCAAAAAAATGTTTTCTCCTTTTCATCCAAGGAAATAAACAATAAAACAAAAAATTCAATTCTAATATGACGCATCAAGAGTTTGGAATGTCAATAAAATACATTATTTTATCGAAAGAACCTCTTAAAATAATGCATTACAGGTATGTACTGAATCAATTAAGTTTTATAGGCAATCATTATTTTTAAATAGAGTAAGAGATTGTCATTTAATATATATGTCAAGACATTCATCTCTTGAGTTTGAAATTAAATGCCGATACTGAAGTCAATTAAATTTTTTGGTGTGTGTATGTGTGTGTACGCTGTGCAAGCCGAAAACATGTAGTGACATCGCAAAGCGTCGTGCCAAAATAGATTCCTTCCACTCCGATCACAATCTCATGAACAAAAATAGTGTATGCAACCACAATAAGATGCACAACGGCCACATTCATGGGGGGCTGGATCAATATTTTTAGAAAATATTTCGATCGTTAAGTTTTTTTCCTGTGGTGATCTTTAAGACCGATTTGATTCAATATACAATCGGTTAGGACTTGAATCAAAGCGCGAACGAAATTGATTAAAACAGATTTTTTTTACATCGAAATATTAAATTTTATTCGGTTGTTGTTACTGCCATTGTTGATGATTTTCGAGTGTAAGGTTCTCTTAAATTGAATTTAGTTCCTTTTTAAGATATTTAAAAATGATTTGTTTGTCGCCGCCGCCGCCGCTCCCATAATGAAAAAGGGGAAAAGACAAAATAAAATAAAAACTGTTTCAACTATAGATAAAGGAATAAAAACTAGAAAATTACTTAGAAAGAAGAATGAGGGAAAAAGAAACATAGCATAACAACATTTCAAAGCATATTGGAACAACAAATCAACTTAACACAACATAGAAAATAGTCCAAGCGAAGACATGCGCAAGGTGAATGATCTCTCGTCGTGTGTTTCTTTAGATACTCTTTTCTTTTGGTTTTTATTTTGTTTCATGGTAAAGAAAATTCAAATAACAATATAAAAAATATTCATATAAAGTCGATGACAATTTGCTCCCGAAGTTTTCTAAATATACTGTTTCAGGTTCTAGGTTTTTGAACCCTTTGCTTATAATAAAATGTACGCATTGTGCATAGCAGCTTCCTTTGCTTTTGATTAAATCTACCAAAGTCAAAAAAAATGCTGAAACGCATGAAATGCAATCATAGCCATTGGATGTATTCTGTTTAGAAAGAGCATCTTACCTGTTGCATACAACACACGATGCAATCAAACGGCGAGTACGTGTGAATATGTGCAGCAACCAAGAAGGAAAATTCTATGAAAAGAAAACCCCGAAGAAATAATGTATATAAATAAAGTACATGCAAACATAAACGCGCGCACGATCTTAGTTGAAAAATTGAAATAGATCTCTTCTTCTTTGACCCATTCGCTTCGGAGCCTTCTTCTTTGCATTCACTTTTTTTTCGTTTTTGTATTTATTTAGGAATACTTTTTGTCTACCCATATCGGATCCGTTTGAATTCCTGTAAAAAAGATAGTCGATTGCGATACATTTTTTCAATGGCTTAAATGAGATGGGGCTCTCATACATTTGAGTTTATACGCATTAAGTCATTTTAGGAGAAGTAATAAGATCTGTTACGTTTGAAATAAGAAGATGGAGATAAGGAAAGAGAGAATTAGCTTTGTAATTGTGATGGAGCATATTATTGTGTTTTTAGATTCCACACGCATGAAAAACCCAAAGCGAATACGAAAGGAACGCGCAAAATGAATATAAAGATACACTGGTTTGCTTTTAGTTCAAATACAAAATTGTAGCGTTTCTAATGCTTTCTATTGCCTCGAATCGTTCCCAGGCCCGTTGTATCAATCACGCGCGAGCGTGTTTGTGCGCGCTTACAAGCGAGCAACTCTTTGCGTGGATACCATGAACACTGTATGCAGATTTAGGTTCTTTATTCGTGCACACAATTTCAACTAACATAGTATATATGTGTATGTGTTTGTTTCTGTGAGTATTTGTATATATTTAAATTCTTTTGTGTCTTCCATGGTATCGCTCATATTTGTGCTTTGTCTTCTATTTTCTAATGGTATTGCTGCCGCCATATAGCCACAGTCACAGTTTATGTGCGACCATCCACACAAACGAACGCGACACGACCATTTGATATAATTTAAAGGCTTGTTGTGTTGTTAAACAGGATGGACACAGTAGAGTGATTTCGAGCCATGAAATTTTGTGATGTGTACAGTGGCATTTTGTCGACCATGTCTTCCTTCTTCACATCGAAGATGAGCTGTGTGTATGTATGCTTATTTGCTGTTTGCCGGCTTTCGAAACTTCTTTTATGTCGAGCCACTTTTCTTTCCAACTTTTCTGAATGTGTCGAAATCTCAGAGCCGCGCTCACACATAATCTATCGAGTTCTCTTTTTACCGCCGTTGCTGCTGCTGTTGCTATTTCTCATTTAATTCTTCGATTCTTTCTCATTCTTTACGTTTACACGAGCTAGATCCGCTTTCGTTGCGAGTTCACTGAACTCAGCGCGAGAGAGAGAGAGAGAATATGACAAGAAACGGCTATCCCATGTACGCTCACATACACGAATAAAACGTACACGATGAAAGAAAAATAGCAACAACAACAATAATCAAACACAACATAAGATATTATTTCTTTTTAGAGTCAAGGATTTTAAACATTTCTCATTTCTGTTTTCTTCTGTATTTTCTTCGTTCGCACACGAACGTGTGTATCTTGTTTTTAAGTCTCAGCTCAAATATTTAAAGAGTTTCTCGCTCGGTTCGATTTGGGTTGATGCGTGAGTGTACGTTCCTTCTCTTTTGAATTGATATACGCAGTTTAAATCGCACGCATTTTGTGAACCCAAAAACTCAACGACGACAATAACGAGAGAAAAAAAAATACCCGTATCGCACACGCAATCCCTCTTTCTCGCTTCTTCATATAATAGCTTATTGCCTTTCTATTTCGATGTCATTGCGCCGATGTGCTATAGCTGTGTATACACAGAGAAAAAGATCCCATTTATCTCGTTATTGTAACAATGCATTACCATTATATTTCCAATTCTATGGGATGTTTAAAGAAAAATAAAAAAAAAATTGAAAGAATAATAATAATAAATAAAATGATTACAATTATGATATTTGCTTTTGCAATTGTTACTTCAATGTAACAAACCTTTCCTCGATTCAGCAAAATTTTACGAATCAATGCTTTTTTCCTAAATAAAACGTCTTTCTCTAATTTTTCTCTAAATATTTTCAAAATGAATCAAACATGAAGATTTGTTTGCGGAAAGATTTAAAATTTGGAAACGAAAATTTAAATTTCAATTGAATAACTCTCTGAATAAAATGCAATTACCATATAATTTTTGTTTTGAATTTGTTTTTAGGTTGATGAAGAATTTTTTTTTATTTCAAAGTTAAATACTATAAGGGATTTGAATTAATAAGGGATTTAGAATAAAAAAGGAGATGTGTGACTTTGTATTTTTTTCTTCGAAAAGCAGACCATAAAGGAATTTTTAATGTTCATTTTTAAGTGCTTTAGTTGGAAGCATAATAGTCTTTACTTATTTATTGCTGTGGCTACGAAGTAATCACGATTTTCATGCACTTTGAGATTCATTTTTTCTTAGTTCGTATGGTTAAAAATCACTACTTTAATTATATTTAATCCGAAGAGTACATCCTGTCCGCTGCCTGCATAAATATTATTTTATCCTTTTTTACTCTTTTTCGTGAACACTCCTACATAGGGAACAACAGTAATGACCGAGAATAATACAATTGGATATGCTCATTGAATTTATGTCTTGTGTAGAAATGGATATATGTAAGGAGATTATAGAATGCCGATACAGAAAAACTGGCGACAAAGAGAAAGGAAAGGGTAAAACTGGTTTTACTACCATCATACACTGGCGGAGATTGTTGATGGGATCGACGACGCGAAACGCCGACGAAAAATAAGGAGATTGAAGTTGGAAAACACGAACAACGGTCGCTCGATCAAGTATTCGGGAACCACAGAACGAAACGAAAATAAATCCCTATTGTTAGTAACATGCATACACATCGAATGCACGATGACCACGCAAGAGCGCTACTAACTTTATATAGTCTCTGCGATCAAGTTATTCTCTCTTCATTTTATTTTATTCACATACAATGAATCCCAGAAAAATTCCCGAGTACGTTAGATGCAACTTGGTATGGTGAAAATAATCACAACCTAAAATAAACCCTGTTGCGTTACAAAAAAAAAATTAAATAAAAAAATGCATACAAGTAACACACACAATATCAAAAAGGAACATCGTGTGCACTGAAAGGGAGGAGGGGCCAAAAGCAGAAAAAAATACAGAAGAAGCAAAAGAGTTTTTTGGTTAGTTTGCGTAATGTATCATTACATCAAAAGAAAATTGTTTGATCGTAACACACGCACGTGCATGTGATGTAGCACAAATCTACATACTATATTCACATCAGTACAGCATTGCAGCACAAGCAACAACTAAATAATAATAATAATGGGATATGAATGAACAAAAAAAATGAAGCCAAAGCAAGGGTCATCGCTTGTTACCGTGCTTACTACTTCGAAACATCAAACATTAGATTCTGTAAAGTGCATAAATACACGTGTATATTCCGACAAAATCACAGGTGCGCATCACACAATGTATATACATGTATGTATGTATGTATGTATTCTTCATGCCCAGAATACTAGAAAATATACAAATCCAAACAACAAATAAAGAAGAGAAAAGAGATGGAGAGAGAGAGAGAGAGAGAGAGAAAAAAAATAGTTAACTCAAAACCTTAATTCAGCCCAACAACAATAGCAAAAAAAATATATGAAAATTTAAATACGAAAAAAGCGAATCAACAAATGAACATTGAAAAAAATGGGGGGAATGAAACAAAGCAAACTGTTTGTTAAAACTGTTGTGTACATGGGAATTTGGTATTTTATTTATCCCCCCATTTAAATCTATTGAGCCCAATGCAATCGACCAAACCAAACCAACAGGCCTGAATTTGTGTGCATTACATACACACGTGTGCTAATTGTCATTGTTTCAATTGTTATTAGATCGTGTGCATATCCGTTCAGTCCATTTTCAAAATGCACCGATTTTTGTTGTTGTCATCACATAAATTTTAGCTGCGATAAGGGCAATTTTAGCAGCAAACGAATGATACAAACATTTCCTGTACATTTTTTATTTCGAAAAAAACCAAGCCAACACCTTTTTATTCTTAATTTTTTTTTTTATTCAAACATGGATTACAATTAAAATCTTTATTTTAACTTTTATTTTATTTTGAAGAGATGTAAGTATTAATTTTTTTAAATGAAATCAATAAAAATGGACAAAGACACAGATGATATGAACGATGATCATTATCGTTGAGATGTGTTTCATGGCTCACCAACCACTTATTTTTCGTTGATTTTTCTATAATTTTCCTAAAATTATTTGCCATCTCAATTTGACCACTTACAATGGAATTATTTTGGTCAAAGTTTTCCAATTCATATTCTGTTATAATTGTTTTCAATTGATTACTGTGCAAGAAAAATTGATCAATACCACCGAGCGTTTCTAAATTATTTTTTGTTAAAAAGCTGCTATTACACCGAACATGTACGTGAATCAATGGCAATTGTTTTGCAAACATTTCTAAAACTAATGGATCTAATGTACTTGTGATGACCATTAATTTCTTCAACTGTTGACATCTTAATATGAACTCAATAGCCGACTTACTAATTGTATACATACGTAATTCGAAACATTCAAGCGCTACTTCAAGCGATCGTGGTAATTTATTGAAAATATCGAATTTATCACCCTTGTAAGTCGAAATACTTATCTCTTTCAATTGGCAACATTTGATCAATCCATTTAGAAATGGATAGGTTGATGCTTCTATCTCTAATCGTTCAATATTAGAAAGAGCACGTGTTACACTGTCATTAAGAGCCATATTCATAGTATTTATGCTCAGTCCCTCTAACTCATCCAATTCCAAGCATTTCAGTTGATAATTTAACTTAAGAAATCGTGCTAAATTCATCAAGCTACTTTCTACAAAATTTTGTTTTGGAAATGTGAGATATCCAAACGATTGTAATTTTGGAAAATGATTGACTATTAAACCAGTTTCCCAGAACTTTGGAACGTCATATACTTTTAAACAAGTTAAATTCGGAAACCAATGATTGATGAGCGTTATGGAACTATGGATGCCATATAAACTATTACGGATTTGTAATTTTTTCAAATTCGGGAACGGTTTATTCAGTTTAATGTCCTTCTCTACGTTGAAAAGTGATAGCTCGGTTAGTGTTGCTCGGCAGTTGTTTACAATTGAATTGAAAATAATACAATTGTTCGGATTTTCAAGTCCAAATTCGACACGTAATTTTACAATACATTCTCCAAAATGTTTCAATGTTAGTAGAAAAATGTTCAAGCTCATAAGGAATGTGTCATAAACATTATATTTAAATTCCTTGAGTTTGTATTTATGTGCGAAAAAAGTTCTAGCACCGATAGCCAGTTGAACGTTGGCCTCGGCAACGTTGGCTAAATCGGCCGGACTCAAATACGAAAAAACTTTACCCAAACAATCACTATTTAGATGTGCTATAGTTATTCGTTGTTTGTTTAACGTTGTCGCCTTATGTTTATGAATCGATATCATGTTGACTGAAGTTCACAACGTTTTTTTCTCGATGATGATAAATTCTGAAAAAGAAAACACAACAAAAACAAAAGAAATTTAATTTTATATGTATCTTCAAAAAAAAAATCCACAATTACTATTACTTACTTCGACATAAAATCCAGGCTAATTAATTTAATTTGTTCTTTTGCTATTTGTATAGAGTAGAAATGAACACGACACGAAAGATCGATGTGATCTATTTCACAGCTTATTGAGAAATGAAAAAAAAATATTTGATTTAAATTTGCGTTTCTTTAGTTACCCTTTTCATACAAACCCCCTGCTTAATGATTTTTTCCATACACTTCATTTTTTCTTCAATATCCACCATTTTTTTTCGAGAGTCAAGCGCAATAAGGGCACACTATATAAACGCCATCTATTAATAACCGACTAACTACAATGTAAATCAAACGTATCTGTTTCCCGTTTTTATTTACTCCCTTCCCCTCTCGCTATACTTTTACATTGTAGTTAGTCTGTTTTACAAAGATGTCGTTTCTGTGTAAGATGTGTGACGTCACAATGTATTTATATGGATAGCGCTCGACTCTCGTTTTTTTTAAATGAAAACTTAAAATGCTTAAATTTAAGTATACAGAATACAATTTATTCCACTGTCGGAACTGTCTTAAGTTTTCTTTCGAATACATTTTTTTTTTTAATTTGTGTGATTGTTATGTTCTTAGTAGAAGAAAAACATAAGAAAATGTCAATATTCAAGCGGTACACGAACTTCTTTGGAATGACACTTGAAATATTAAATAGTTATAATAACCTTCGAATCCCTTGATTAATTCAACTGGTTCCAATTTATGTGAAATATTCGACTTTGACAGATGGTGCCATCGTGATACGGACAAATTTCGATGAATGGTATCTTGATATAATTTGATAATCTCCTTTGATTTGACGTAGACATTGTGCTTATACATCGATCGGTAATTATTGTTCCTTTTGATGTCGCATGCAACTGTTGCCTTTTCAAGTTGTGGACAATATTGCATAGATTCGATCACCGCAATTAAGGCTGGTGGTAGTTTGAGCTGCTCATTGTGATTATAATTAGCAAAATATACTTCTCTGAGATTGGGTAGATATCAATTCAAATTTTTGCAGCTCACAATGAAATTGACTTTAAGTTCATCTAATTTTCAGGCCAATAGTTCCAATTGTTGAATTTGATGAGATTTTTGAAGCCACATTGCAATTGTTCCATTTCCAGTCAGTTTTAGATGTTTTATTTTGGCAAATTCAAATGGTCAATTTATTATTGGATAACTCCAAAATGCTTGTAATGTATAAATGCATGGCATAAGTTCCACGTTCTGTTGTTGCATTTGATTATAAGATCTTCGAATTCGAATCTGTCAAATGCATATCAAATATTCATCACATTCCAAAACGGCTTAAAACTTTGATAAAATACCAATTTTTGTAGTTTGCTGAATGGGTTTTGAAACTCAACTGCATTTTGAAGATACGACCATTTTAATTCTAACAATTTGCATATTTGTTGACTTCATTGATTATTTCTTGTGCCTTAGAGAACAAAATGGTGGTCCAAAATCAATGTTCAATTTTGTTATGTATTTTCCGAAATGTTTGAGAATCATTTCTATTTCGGCAAATGAATTTCGTCTATTTCTAAATTTTGTGCCGAGGCATTTTATCATAATTTCTTGATCTTTGTTTCTAGACGCAAAAACATAGGCTGCGATGGCTGCCAAATACTCATTTGATTCAGCTACTTTCACCAAAATTGATTTTTAGTGATGAATGTATAATTGCGATAAATATGGCACGCAGAGAAAGGCAAACATTAATATATATTGTAGTGGTGCCAAAGTGAATCTAATTTGCGAAATCTATGAATTGAAGTGAAGTTGACACCTTTTTTGTGAACAGTGCTGCCTTTGTTATCGTTATCATCATCAATACAATATGATGCATTTGATAGGTTCTAAATAAATAGACAAATTGTTTTCAAAATATTTTGTTTGATTTTCTTATTCAATTTTTTTTATCGATTTTAAGTTCAACATAAGATATATATAAAATAAATATTGCTGTAAATGAAAGTAATAGCTGCAAATAATCTATGCGATGCTTTTTTCCAAAATGGCGCATAAAAATGGAAGTTTGTTTGAATTTTGTCGTTTGATTTCGATGTTCTTCGTCTCAAAACGAACATGCCAAATATTTGGGAGTTTTTGTGAAAAAAAATCACTTAAAAACGTTTCATATCGGCGTGCCGTTTCTTTTTCGTACTTTAGTTCAAAGCCAATGACAAATTTATTGTGCCGATCACGTTCAAGATTTTCAATTATTATTCTTATAACCTCTGGAATAACTGAATAATTTGGTTTCTCTTTATACATCAAAAAGATGTCCAACTCATTAAGTTGCCGTAAATATAATGCGGCTCTAGTCAACTGTATAACATCCAAACCTTCGCCAATATATAGGCGTAGCCTTTTCAAATGGCGGCAATGTAAAATCAAATCAACTGACTCAACATTCAAATTATCAACATAGAATTCAAGTTGTTGTAGCGGTAATTTTGCAATTTCAATCCGATTTTCTCTCATGCAGTGCAGAAAATTCGTTGCATCTCCCATCGAGATGCTCAATTGATTCAATTGTCCAAAATAAATGGATTCGAATGGAAGTAAATATGTGATAAGACTTCTGTGATCAGGATATGGTAATTTTCGATGAATCGTTTTAAAGAATTGCTGGCGAACCTCTTCATAATGGAACAACCTTTCCAATTCTTCTGCTCCAATACCCAAGCTGATCAATTGTTGATTCACATTAATGAAACAACGAAATTTCTGCAAATTTTCCACTTCTGAATCCATAATGACTTGATTATAGTTTCCAAAATGTGTCATTAACGGAATTTTTTGTTCCAAGATTTTTGAATTAAAAACATTTTCGACGGAATAAAATTCCAAACTCGAAATATTCGGTGAATTTTGAATGACATGTGTTAGTGAATCCGACAAATAACTCTCATTGAGCGTGAATTTTCGCATTTGTGGAAATGGTTTGTCAATTATCATATCACTTTGAACATTTGATAAATTTAGTTCCACAACACTTTTACTGCATTTTTCGATGATTATTGAAAGGATTTTTTCGTTTCGATTGCGATACCGTTTTTCATGGTAAAATGTTACTTGTAATCGCTTTATTTTATCACCAAATCCATCCAAAATATATAAAAAATTATTGAAAATCCTTCCATTTGATGCAAATGGGTCGAATGCAATTAATGTGTTGTTGTATTTTTTATTGAATATATAGCTTGCACTTTCCAAAAAATATCTATTGGTAATGGCAACCGCTCTAAGTTCTTCGAATGAATGTAAACATTCGAACACCTTCTCCAAGCAATCGACATTTAGTTGCAATAAATTGAATTCCGGTTTTCTCACACGTTTACTTTTTTTATTATTCACATCGGTTTCATTGTCTTCAACAATGTACCTGCGTTTCTGAAGTTTTAAATCCATAATAGAATCTCTGTAGAACAATGGCAAATAAATCTATTAATTGCTTTTTATAAAACAAAATCTTTTCAATAGAAAATTTATATATAGTATACTTTTATAATGTTTTACTTACAATTTATTTGAGTTGGAAGGTAAAATGCAAAGGTCAGACGTTTTTGTGCGAATTTCTTTTCAAAATGAAACGTAAACGTTTACCTTTGTAAAGTGTATGCTCAAGTGTAATTAGTAAGGATGACAGAAGGACGCCTCGTACTCGTAAAATGCCACACTTTGGTTTACATACACAACAGTAGCCATTTTTGTAGGTTTTTTTTCAGAAATTTGACAGTGGTTTTAATGTTAACCACGATACACATGCAAATGTGACCATCTTCACTTATGAACAAAAATTAACCAAAGTCTCTTCTTTTTCGATCAATTGTATAAAATGTATATCAATGATAAAATATTTATAACGAATATAAAGAAGAAATTTGATTTAGCAAAAAAAGATACCGTTTATTTTCTAAATAAGTATAAATGCATAAATTAATCAATTAAATAACCTGAACCTGCGATATTGTCTAAAAACAATCCAGCATACTCTTCCCCTATTTATTTTTAGCAATTCAACATATGGATTTTTTTCTTCTTTTCTATCTCTCGCTTTATAAAATATACCTGTTGCTGCGAACTGGTGTAAAAAGTGAGAAAGGAAAAAAGGAGAGCGTGCGCTTATTAAATAGTATGATATATATTTATACCAAAGTAAGCAAATAAAGCCCAACAAATATATGTACCCATTTGATCAAATAAATGAAGTAAACACATTCTCGTATGTTTAAAGGCACTGAAAGCAATATCGAAAGCGTGAAAGCAGAAAAAGATACCTATTAAATAATCGGTTGTACTTTAGACGATTTTTTTTCGCGTTTGTAGAAATATTAAAACCCAATTAACGGTCATAAATTTATTTTATATTTCTCTTTCTCTCCCCCTCTCTTTATGATGATGATTCTAGTGCTGATTCCTGTGAAACGTATTTTAACGTGTAATACGATATTTTTAGTGTATATCATTGCAACATATAAAATAAAAGAGAAACAAATAAAGTACACATAAACAGTAGCCGAATATGCAATGAGCCAGTCTAACTGTCCGCTCGGCCGATTGAAGCTATAGCAATGAGGACATGGAAATTGAGCATGTGAACAGAATTTTAACGAACAAATAAACAGAAGCTAGAGCAACCAGTGGATTGAAAGAGAAAGAACTACATGTAATGTAGTTTATGAATACGTTGCATTGTGTTCATTTGTTGTTTTTTTTTGTCTTAATGCAGAACACACAGTTCCAGTTCCATTTCGTTCGTTGTGTGTCGCGAGTTTTCGGACTATATATTGAAAGCCGCGAATGACTGAAAGTAATAACAAAATTATGCTGTTGATATTTGTGTGTGAGCTCGCGCGAGTATCATCTTGAGTGAGTGCGGCTCGCAATACTTCGGTAAAAGTTAATCTCACAATATAGAAACGAGTGTATTTGTGTGCGCATGTATAGCACATTCCTCTACTGTTTTTTTATGATGCGGCATATATTTATGTATGTGTGGTGTGTAGTAAAATATTTTTTTTGTAAGATTGTATAACTTCAGTTGTACGGTGCGCGCGACATCACAACGAACAGGCAAAGAGAAGCGAAATAAAAGACACGAGAGAAAAAAAGCACACACAACAAAATCCCTATACGCTTTATTTGACCTCCTTTCAGGTCAAAACCCTCAACTACAGCGATTTCTATTTACATTCTTCTTTCTCTGTCTTTCCACTGTTTGTGATGCCTTCCTTACTCTATGCATGATTCGGGCGAATTATTGAAAAAAAAAACTCAAAATTAAAATCAAACTTACTAACCATAATCAACTATTGCATGAAAAATGACAATTTGGAGCAATTAAGAAAAGAACACAAAGACCACGGAAAACATCATTTCCGTTGGTTTGATTCGAAAATAATTTCCAACCAAAATGAAAATCAAACATTGATCACAGTCGATCATCTCACACTAAAATACGTTATTCACACAATATTCACTTTTCAAAACGGCAATGCATTTATATTAAATTGTTGATTTCCAAATCATTGCATTGCCTTATCATCACTCTATCCTGTAATGACCATTGTTAAGCTGTGTGTGCATGGGACTCATGTCAAGCAATGCGATAGGAAAATAATAGTCATGCTGTACACATAAATGAAGGAAATACCAACAAAAAGAGAAATACAAGTAACAAAAACTTGCCTCGCGTGGTCGAGCAGCAGCCCTTCGACTTTTGGTGTTAAATGTCATTATTTAAATATCAAAACAATTTGAAGCATAAACATGAGAATTGACTGGTTTTTCGATGTTGAATTTCAGTGAATGTTTTTTTTTTGTGTGAAAAGCGGAACCTTAAAAAATGCACGTAACAGGATAATAAAAATAAAAACATTACGAAGAATAAATAAGTGAAGCGATTAATTTATTTTTCGTCGTTTTAAAAATATACGTCACAGACTTAAATTTAACCGAGTAGTATTGTGATGTTCAACGGATGGAAGATCGCTTTGGTCGTTGCATCTTTCGTCGAGGGAGGAATTGAAATGTAAATTTGTTAAGCAAAGCGAAAAAAAATTGAAATGAACAACAAATAAGGAGTAAGAATCTTGCATTTATGGTAATTGTTGGATAAACCGTTTCGATTCAGTAACTTATTCTCGTTGGTTGATATGCAACAGGACACTAAATTTTATGTAAAATTATTCAAGCCTCAAAGAATGTTCATGGGCAGTCAATACGAAAATCTTTTTTTAAAGATTCACATTTGTGCGTTGTAACTTTCACACGAATTCATTTAAATTAAAGGAAATGAGTTTTGATTGAAAAAAAAAAAAACAAAACTGTTATTGTTTTAATGAGATACAGTTTTACCTGTGCGGTTAATGCACTTATTCAAAGTGAATCGCTCTGTTGATCGTTCTGGTTTATGACGTTACAAGCGAAGGGTTGCTATAGGGACTAAAACGAACGGATAATAAAATAGCAAAATTCATGGGCAAATTCGTGTCTACCTCCGGTTTTCCTTCATATATTTGAATAAAATTTATCGAAAGTATTGCGTAACCGATGAGAAAATACAATAAATATTGCCATTGAGAACTTACGGAATACTCTGATTTGGGTTACGAAACACGCTAAATGTTTGACATGTTTTGTTTTCATAAGTAGCGTTCTCAATATATTTTTATTCTCTTTCATCATTAGTAGTTTGTTTGTCCCAAGCAGATTCATTGTTTGTCGCAGTTGGTCAAACAAAAATTCATACGGTAGCAGTAAGTCAACCGATCGTCTGTGGAGCATACAGATACATACTTCTTCAATATTTGTGCAGCACTTGATGAAAAAGAAAGAACAACATATAGAAATACTTGAATTCGATCGGTACTTTGTCAGTGAAATTGCCAGTGTACCTATGAACATTGAGCATACATAGCGAATGTGGTGTTGTTTGTTTGTCATGCCTTTATACATTAGGGTGTTCACGGTAATTTGTGGCGTACTCTGAATCGTGTATCCATGACCGGTCGTCGTCTATATGCTTTGTGTATATGTGTCGTAATTCACTTTATTCTCTCTTTATCTCTCATTTCACTAATATCAGTTTTATGGTATTTCGTCCAGTTCATGAATCTCGAAAACCGTGTATGATCGCGGTAAAAAACCAAATTTCGACGCTGAAATCTCCGAATCGAAGTGTTGCTGCGGAGTTTCTCATGCCCGGTACATTTCTATTTCTATGGTATACCGTGGCGATTTTTCTCATGAAGTTTCGAGGGAAAAGTTCACGCACTGTGACAAATATTCAGTGATTTGAATATATACAAATAAGAATTATTCATTTTTTGAATGTTCTCACGGAAGAAAAGGGTGAGATTTTTTCTTCTTAGAACAGTATATCTTTAATTATTATGCGAATTTTTTCAGAAATAAATATTTTCCCATTCATTCTCAATAAATTCATTCCAATTAGATGAATTTCGTTGTTGGGGCTGAAATCCGGTAGAGCACGTCTATAATGAATGGCCTATACGATGGTAAAAATGCTCAGCAGGCGAAGAAAGAAAAAGACACATAAAACATACTCAAAATTTCGTTTCGATTCGTTTTTCTACGTAGCTGCGTGAACAACGTTGTTGCTGAGCTTCTTATTCTTTTGGTGGCCAAGCTGAGTGTGCACGTGTATTGAATTTAACCGAAGAAAACGCTCCCAACAATAGTATACCAATTACAAAATCCATCTACTTCTCCTTCTTCTTTTTCTTTTTGATTGTGAAATTTGTTTTTGTGCCCATTTTTTTCTTTCTGTTCCTTCCATTTTTGGCGATTGCCAGATTTGTCTTTTTTTTGGAATTCAATTGTGGTATCGGAATCCAAAGTAACCAGGCAACTATTTTGTCTATAGAAGTGTGTGAATGTATGCGCGTGAGCAAGTGAGTAAGTGTGAGAATGTGCGTAAGCCTGCTTGACGGCTCGTCCACTTGAATAAAAAAGACGATTTTTGAGCATGAAACACCACTCATACGTATCATCTCTCATGCTTTGCTCAATTTCATCAAAATACCATCATACATGTACGAGGCATAAAGAAGCTATTATATACCATCCGAAATCCATATAATAAATGAAACTCTTCTCGTAATTTTATCTGCGTTGGTTTCATACATTCACATATGATTGTAAATTCTGATTCGATTCGTTGGAGTCAGCCTGTTTTGATTTTATGCGTACACGCATTTTTTTCCATTTGTTTTTCTTAATTTTACTCTGATGTATGTTCGTGTGTGTTTGTGTGTGTGTCTTCAATTCGATTCATGAGTTTTGGCTGTTGAGCAAAGAAGTGGTTGTTATGATAATAATGATTTGTGTTGCGCATTATTACAATTCTTATCAAAAGAAAAAAAATCAAATCTCCTACGTTTATGTCAACACACACATACTTGAATAAAGACTTAAACCATCAAGTTAATATGATTTTCTAATATTGCAGAAGACACGTGGAATGTAAAATTAAGCCTAGCCGATCTGTGTATGCATTAACACTATTCTGTAAGCGATTGATGAAATCACGAAGAAGAGTCAAATAATTTGCAAATACGATGACTCAAAGTCATTTTATTTCAAAATAATAAAAATCTCACTAGTTTTATACTAACGAAAGAGAGATGACAATCAAAACATCAAACATTAGAAATTGCTCATCGGTAGACGCCGATGTTGCCGTCACTACTATCATCCGCTTCGTCCGTCGCGGTCGTCGATGTTCGTCATCGTCTTCATGGTTGCTGCACGAATTTCGAAAAAGTATTTGGGACCGATGCGTGCCATGATCAAATTCATGATTGAATTCATTTTGATTTCTATATACATTTTCACTGTTGTCCATTTTTAGATAGTCTACTATTTTATAAACCGCGCCCACTTCACGTGCTTTTTCATAAGTTCTGCGATAATACATCGAAATTGTTGTAAAATAAATATCGTCGACTGAAAACGAAAAAAAAAACAATAAAAAAGAAACATGAAAAAGAATTGAAGAAAAAAGGTAATCGAAAGACAAAAAAATGGACAACGTAGCTAAAGATATTTAGGACATTGGACGCGTCACACTTCATAAATATCAAATATACCGTTATATGAGGGGAAAAAATCCGGATTGATTTGGCGAAATGTTGAATATGACGCAAGCATAAAATATAAATTTCTGACTCGACTGCAATTGAGTTCAGTCGAAGGATGCTTCGATTATGTTTCTTTTTGTTTTTACTTAAATCATTTTATCATTCGTCTTGTATTGTTTTCTTTTCTTCAGTTTCCCATTTAAAGAGAAATGATGTTAAGCGCAACATCACGATTCTTGACATTCAGATCATGAGAATAAGACTTGTAAACAGGACCAGCCAACCATATATAATGAACAGATACACAAAAAATATTTACGGCTTTACCGTTTTACCTTCATTGCATTCAATTCACAATTCTACTGTATGAGGTTGGCATTAAAATTAAAATGAGAGATCAAGAAAAAAAAATCACACACTTTTGTCTCAATTTAGAACACGCGCAACGACGATAACCACAAAAACAAGATTGAACCGCAAGCGACTTATCACATAATAATTCCAGCGAAAAGGCTCGTATATCTTATTTTTCTTATACTTATTCTGTTCGATAAATACTATGAAAACCAAAAAAAAATGATCAAGTGTGCTTGAACATTGTGTGCTCAGTGCTCACGTTTAAATACTATGACTTTGGAATGATTCAGGGCTGAAATTTGAAATGCAACGAAACAATGATGATCGAACGGTGTGCACATCGATAAAACAATGCTTGAGAATGAGTTGGTATAGTTTTTTTTCATCATTTTGGTCTTTCTCTCTTGCTCAATTTTCTTTAATATGATATCAAATGTATGGCACACACTTCAATTGCATGTCGTTACTTCTATTGTTGTTGACGTTGCTGCACTTTTTCTCTTTTCTGAAATATTTCGTGACTTTACTTTTCTTTTCGCGCGATGTAAAGTGAAATACCATCAAAATAATGCTTCATCGTACACACATATTTCACTTCATTCGTTCGTTCGTTTCGCCTTCTTTAGTAGATTTTACAGTGTGCGCATAGATTCACATTCCAATACTCGATACGGATTCTCCACTTTTCAATGCAATCGATACAATGGTTAACGCATGTACACATTAGAATGGGGCCGTTTATGTATGATAACTTTTTAACCAATTAAGTGGTTTATTGAATTAGGTTACGTTAATAAAAATTATAAGAGAACATCAAACGGCAGCTCAGGGAAAAGTTATAATATACATACACAACATAGCTCGTACATTTGAACGGTGTGTTTGTTTTGCGCCAGTTTTCGAACGATTTATACATAATCTATGTATCGTAATCCACCGTACGTGCAGTTTTATGGATTCATGCAACGAATCGATATGAAATACGACAAACAAGAAAAAAATAAACACATCGAAGTGATCTAATCGATTTGACCAAAAGGCAAAGAGCTTTAATTTCTTTGGCCCGTTTCGGTGGGCACACGAAAACAAGTAAATCAATGACTATGAGAAGACACAAACATGCGCCACAGTGTCCACTTATAATATTTAACTGACTTTATAAATGCATTCAAGATTAATACGAAATGAAGGAATTTCAACATGAATCGGTTTTTGGGAAGGGAATTTGTCATCAAATAGTTTTTTTTAAAAACATATATTTTCTTACGGTGACAACTGGTAACTATTTTACTCTATTTTGTCTATGTGATTGTTTGATTTGGAAAAAAGAGCAGTGTAATCATCTCAAAAGTGGAAAACTTTTTCAGTTCATTGAATAAATAAGAGGTTTGTAGAAAAAGAACAAAAATGAAAAAGCAAAATAAGCTACTGAGTCAAAAAAAAGAGTAAATAAAGTGAAGAGAGCGCGAACGAGAGAGAAGAGCACAAAAAATGTTTATGAAACAAATGCAGTAATTGTTTCATGGATATCGTATTCCACAAAGGCCTACGGCTGTGAAAACCAAGACAGCAAAACAATAATGTAACATTGTAATTCATCATTCTAAGGTTCAATTCAGGCCATTTGCGTTCGCCTGCTTACATAGCGAAGCTAATTTTTTTTCTTCTCTTTTCCAAATTGAAATTCTCAATTCTGGTACTGTGGTTATGTGTTCTGAATATTGTGTGGATGTGCGCACATATTCACTATTTGGAGGACTGAAGCAAAGAAAAATACGAAGAATAAAAACAAAGCAACAACAACAACAACAACAACACAGCATACACATTTTTCTGATGAAAAAGAAAAAGACTGAGAGAAATCGAAAAAAATGCTCATCCACTCAGAAATTCAGGACACAAATACATGTTCATGCCAAACAACACCCATTCGGTTTGATTACATTGGGGCAAACCGAACCTACTGAATAGAAACAAAAACAGAACAACACATCGTTGTTAAGTCAACGTACGCTCTATGTATCTAGCTCTATAACCATAGAATTTGTATATTGGTAATTCTATAGGAAAAAAATTGCTTTTATGCCACTACAATATATATTCAACAGCTCTTTGAATTCTACAGTGCGCCCAGAAATCACTTTACACTAGATGATCGCATGGAGCATACACATACACTCAATACATTTATTCGTATACATTGGTGCGCGAACGAACAGTATATGAATACACTGCATGCTATGTGAAACCATCCCATAAATGTGACATAGGCAAGAAAGACTATAGTTTCTAATTGAGAATCTATTTTACATTGTGGAATAGGTTTTTCCTTTATAAGTTTCTAATTGCCTTCTCCTGCCTCCGTTTCAAATGACCGCGCACAACAACATACCAATAGACACAAGTAATACCCCGGCAACAACAGTAGAACCGCGATTTCTAGATTTCTAGTGGGACTATGTATGTGTGCGTATGTGTGTGTGCGTATGTGTGTGTGTGTCTGTGTGAGTGTTTGAGTGTGTGAACCAAATGTAGCTCTAGATCACAACAACCATGCCAAGAATCGCGTGTGAAACGCAAACGCAGAGAGAATTAGAATCTAATACGATACAATGTTCATGTGCATTGAATTTGTTGCGCATCCGATCGTGTGTTTATTTTTTGCTCTTTGTTTGATTGTAAAAAATAGAAATACAATAGGGGGGTTTTGTAAGGCCATTAAAAATGAGATTCAAAAAATCCAAAATGATTATATTTTAAATAGTTTAAATGCAATTTAAAATCGACCCATTTATGCAGCATTTTTTCTCGCGTCAATAAGGGCTAGCTTCCCCTGTTGATTACATTGATAGACATTAAATTGCATTTACAAACAAAAAAATAACGCTGTTTTTTATTCTAATTCGAATTTCAATTGCATTTAATTCGCATACGTTTCACATCAATTGATTGAACCACTATAGAAATTCCCTTCCCGCATTACGCCAGAAAAATAGAAAGAAGATAAAATGGCTATAAAAAGCCGTATAGCACGAAATGTTCAACAGTTCATATATATATTTTTCGAACCATGAACAATTGTATACACAGCTTTAAAAAACTGCGGGTTGATTGCGATGCGTTCACGCCGCTCTATAACCAAAGCCGTGTGCGTATGCGTGCGTATATGTAAAGTCAACGTCGATTCCAATGTAAACAGTATGAAGTCAACACCAATATCCAACCGCACGGAATGAATTTCGAATGTTTTTTTTTTCTGTTTTTATGGGTCGCCTGCAAACAAGAAACCGAAACAACACGAACGATCACGAATAGGAGTCGCACAAGATTCAAAAATTTCAAACACTCCGCTAGCAAATAAATAAGATAATTTTTATAAAAGGCAATGTTTAATCCGCACAGTCATTCGCTTGCTTCACCTACTCACGTTTTCTTTCCGTTTCTTATGTTAATGCTGCGCAAACAGGCAGCGTGAATGTGAAATCGGATTGTGTGTCCGCGCGCACGCTTGTCGTTCGCATACGAGAAATTTCAAAAGAAAACTAAACGATTTTGCTCCCTCTTCTCTATCCTGTTCTATCGCTTTTTCAAGCCGTTTCACTTGGTCGCGCCACCAAAACGCACCATCATACACATTCACAATGTGTATTCAACATTCGAAAGTCGACACATTCGCTTCGTGGCTGCTTTTTTCCTTTCCTGTGGCTGTCTCGATCATGAACTCATTTCGTTGTCTATTCAGTTGAAAGCCTGTCGTCGTTGTAATCACATGTGTTTTCATCATGTATAGCAATTTTTAATTTTGTTTTTTTTTTCTTTCCTTTTTTCCACACACATACACTCTACAATTTTGTTGATTTTTTTAATTTTCGTGTTTTATTCGACGAACACCTTTAAAAAAATTGAATATAAATTCTTTTTCCACGTAATCATATGAACAAATTGTCCATAAGGACATTTTAAACGACAAGTGATTAAATAAAGGACTTGTATGGTTCAGTGCAATAAAAAGACGTGAATGAAAATATGAAAAATTTTGGGAAAAAAATTAAAGTGTCTTAAAATTTATAACAAATTTGTTATCATTTAATTTGGCAATTTTTATTTGTTTTTAGAAATTAATATTGAACTTAAGTGTCTTAATGACGTTGAATTAAAATTATTCAAAAGAATTGAAGCGGAAACGTAACAAAATCAGACATAAATTTATAAAGTAAATGATTCAGTGATGAAATTGTTTGAATAAAAATAATAATCAACCGAAAAATAAGAGAGACAAATAACGCGAAAACAAATAAGGAAGAACAAAAATTAACGAAAGAGAATAAGAGTGATAGATTTGAGAAAGAACGTAATAATTGTGACTGGTTTTCATTGGTTCAATTTGATACATCAAGATTCATTGTGATAATAAATCGCATAATAATAAAGGACCCAAAAGTTGTTCTCGCAAAAAAAAACCAAACGAAATTCGATATTATTATCGTCGATTTATAATAGAAACCGCATATCTATGCCAAATAAGCAATAAATGAAGAAAAAAATCCCTTCGACAGAGTTGTAATTTTTCCGCGATGATATCATATGTCGATCGATCAATTGCTGCAAAAACAACACTTGAAACCGAATAACTTAAGGAAACCAATAAAAAGAAGAAATAAATATAGACAGTAAGAAAGAGAGGAGGACACAACACACAAGTGCCTAATAGTAGTTAGAATTTAAATAGAAAAAAAGAAGAAGGAGAAAACAACAGCGTCACAGTCGAGGCGTTTGATTCTAATTTGAACATCGATCGAAGTAAACGAACGCGTATATCCAGTAGAAGATAGGCTATTGCGCTCATGTGACGAGATGCGGTTTAGCCTAGAATATGGATTTGATCAATAACGAGCAAACCAGACCGAATAATACGAGTGACCGTAAAATCCCATACCTAAACTAAATAGTAAAGGGTATTCGGTAAGTCTTTTTTGGTATATATCTTTCTTTAAAGTGCCACATAGAACACTTGCACGTAGCGACATGTTTCATTCGTGCATGTATACACAGAAATCCTAACTAGATATCACTCTGTCGTCACATACATTAGTCATTGGAGCTTCTCACTTTGACTTGTTTCTTTTAGGTTTATTTTTCGTTTTATTATTGTTCTTTTTCACGCGCTCCATCATTTCCATTCGTGGAATGAAGTGGCAAAGACAGGATTGAGAGTGTACAATACTCCAGCGTAACAGAATGAGTTAAATAACTAATGTACGAATCAAGTGTAAGCTATATAATGTTATAGAGAATATCGGGATTGAATATAAATCTGATTACATAACCAGAATCTTCTTTTTGTTTCATCTCTTTAAAAAAGGAATAAATTGCGTACAGTTTATTTTTGAACGAGTGTTCTGACAGTTTTATTAATTTTATACATGCGCATTGCTATATTATACATATATTACAGTTTTTTCTTTGATAAAATTCGATTGGCTAAGCGTTAGATCAGTTAAAACACGGACACAAATTAAACGTAAAGATATTGGAACACGAACCGGTAACAAAGAAGAATATGTGTAAATAAATGTATAAGGTGGCATAAATTACCCATCAATGTCAACGATCGATATAAATTTAACCATTTTTTAATTCTTTGACATATTTCAATTTACCGCATTTGACTTTTTGGAAAAATACAGAGTTCATTAATGGTTTCGGTCTTAATGTATATATATCAAAGTACAATTGTGTTGTGTTGCTTTTTTCAGTCTTATCGTTGCAAAATCGGCTTAACAGTCACATTTTAATTGGAATATCATTTTGATTTTACCATTTCCTTTTTGTTCACTCCGTTTCTTCTCTCCTTTCACAAAAAAAACTGTTGCGCTCTTTTTAATTTGAATAAATACTTCATTTGTACAGCCAAAATTAAAACCATATGAAACAGAGACATGTTAATAAACGTACAAGGAAATAAAAGAAATAAACATTACTTTTTTAATGTAACTATAGCGGATTTTACATTGTGCATCGTCTTGCAAAATATAGTTGTTGTTGTTGCTGCAATACAAATACGTGGCACTTTTTGGGTAAAGCATTTTGTTTGCTGTATGTGTGTGCATGCTCGTTCGTTTTTCTTGTCCATTCCTTCCTTTTTGTACTCATTTAACCGATTATTTGGTATTCATTTGGTGGCTCTGTTGTTGCTGATCAAAAAACAAAATTGTACCTTGACCATTTTGTATGTTTGTTTTTTCTGTGAAATATTTTTGATTTCAAACGTAAAAAAAAGTAAGTGCACTTTTTCCGTATAACAAATCGTAAATGTATGTAGTGGGACAGTGTAAAATCACAATTTTGCTTTTGTTTGTATGAGTATGTGATGTTTGTGCAATATAATTCAAAGACGCGAAAATGCTGAACAAGCAACTTTTTTACTTTTAAAAAAGTTATCCTCAAATTTACTGTTTTACTTGAATGTATTCATCGCTTCCTTGAGTTTGACACGTCACCCTTTCTTGTCATTGTAATTACTATTATTTTGTTTAATAAACATTTTGAAATCATGCGAAAAAGCAAAAATGCTTTAAAGTGTTCTGAACATTCTTCGTAGAGCAATATGACTTGTGAGCATATCACGCAGTCAATCAGCCAGCAGCCCATCCATCCATCAGTCCACAACCACAATCACTAGAAATTATCGTTAACTGTTCCTTTGGCCCCATCGAGAATGGCTATAGTGTAGTTTATTTTCCATTTTAAAAATCATTTTCAATTACCGTTACACACTCTCTCAAAAAGAAAAGAAAAAACATGATATGAAAACCAAACCAAATCGTGTTATTTTTATGTCGCTTTTTATGTGACTTGATTGTCAGCTCAAAATTTATGATCTCTGCCTTTTTTCTTTGCGCCAAAGGTAAACAAAAAAACAACATTTCTTCCGTGGAATATTATTATAATTTTGCAGACAATTTTTCTGTGTTTATACATATTCGCACATACAATAATATAGTCCAAATATTTTGATTAACAAACTGCTATCGGCCAAGCAAAAAAAAAAAACGATACGAAGAAAATTAATGTCGCAGAAAGTCTTTAGCCCAAATAAAAATGAGTACACGCCGAAAAAATATAAATTCATAGGTTGAGTGAAGGATGCAGTATTATGTTACAAAAGTCTGTCGAGAGTGCGCGAACAAAAATGATGGCAAAACAAAAAAATATATATCAACACCTCATCGAAAGACAAATGAAAAAGTATGATGGATTTATAGTAGTATAAATGTTTTCTTCATTTTATTAATAAAAATATGCTGAGAGTGTACGGTACTTGCAGTCATTCACCTTGATGAATATATACTTATACACATATGTATTTCTTTTATTATTAACATTTTTTTCTATCTTGCCTTCTCTTTCTCCACTGTATCTGATTTGTCGCCATTGCTTCACCCGCTTTCCACATATATTTACATTTCTGTTGTGTTCAGATTATTTTATTATTCCACGGTTTATTTTATAAAAATAACACTTTTTTCCATTTCGATCGGTGTTTGTCCATGTATATTTTCATTTCTTCTTTCGAATATGTTTCGTATGTGTTGCTCTCCCTATCTATCCCCCTATCTATCTATCTGTGTTAATTGTAACAAACAAATACACAAAGCTTAGATCTAAACGAATAACAAAAAAAACTCCAAGAGAAGAAAACATACCATTACTGGTACTGTTTAGTTAGACGGAGATGGTATGTGTGTGTAACTTGCATGTAATACGTTTGATGTGTTTGTATCTGTCGTTTTGAAGCAACATGCATTTAGTGTGTACGCGATCGCTCACACGCTCTCGTGGCAATAGTTATATTTCATTTGACTTTTGTGTATAGTTCAATTAAATACCTGTACACACGGTACAGTGTACTCTTCTCTCTCCAGCAGCGAAACCAGCATAGGTGTGTGGTGTGTGTACATGTATGTATAGCGTTTGTATGATTGTGTATTTGATTTTTATGTCATATCACATTTTAGTTGATTCTCCCAAAGTGTATTCGATATATGCATGCGCGTTCGTTGTCTGTATGTGTTTTTCCAATTTGTAACTTCGTTGTGTGTATTTTTTTGTTTCTTTTTCTCTTTGAACATAATTTATGAATTTTATTTGATATTTCGTAAACGGATCATACGGCCATTGAACTTTTTTTTCAGTTCTTCAATATTATTTCATTCCTCCGCATACAGTTCGTGATTACATAGGTCCAACGTTGAAACTCACGGATGACTTTTCTACATTTTTACTACTGCCGTTGCTTATTTTTCTTTTTTTCAATTGGTTACATCGTTCGCTTCGTGCTTTCAATTCAGAAACGATCGCTTGCACATATATACAGACATGCTAAAATTGAATATATCAAGAGGATGCGCGTCCTCATTTCCTATAAACGTGTGAAATACTAACAAAATAGAAATCATATATATATATACATCGAATCGAATATACGCATATACCTGCATAATTGTTTAGTATGACACACGGTTTTACTGAAAACAATACGTGAAACCGTTTCTACGTTTTCGTTTTTTTTTGGTCCCTTTTTATTTGATTTTTGATTTGCTCACCGCCGCCGTTGCCGCCACCATCATCATGTGTTCGTTGTTGTTGTGCCTTGGGTATAAGTGCCGATAACTTTTACATCATTGTTTATCACCATACATTTTTTTATCTTATCAACGATTCCATGAACCGAATAGGATCTTTCTGTGTGTATGCATAAACATTATTTAATATTATGGCCATATAGTGAAGTGAGACGCAGAGAAAAAGGAATACAAAGCATTTTGGAGAGCAAACAAAACGCACATACACAATCACAGTTTTTCTTTGGTAGATGTTTCTCTTGCGCTTTGGTAGATTACTCTTGCGCTTATAGTATTTTGTTGCTGTTGATGTGTTCGATGCGTCAAAATGAGCCCACCGAGGAATGGAATGGACTGTAGCAAGCAAAAAAGTAGGGAGTGGATCGTATGTTCACCGATCACATTCAAAAGCATGGTTGAGAGAGCGCATTTTATGAGTGTTGTATTTTTCACAATTGGAAGCATCTCGCTTGGCTGAAATTCGAAAGGAAATGAATATCCGCGTTCGCGATACTTTGTCATATTGTATGCCTTTCGTTATTTTTAGCATTAAACGTAGCACGTTGTTACATACGTGTGTGTGAAAAAATGTATATGGGAGTGAGAAAATGAATTCAACACTTTGGGTTTGGTTGCTCCTTTTTCCTTTTGCAGCCATCGTAAAAATGCCTTTTTGTACACGTACACAAACAAAAATAGTCTCTTCTCGCTTGTTTTATAAATGCTTGAATTATCTTTTCTTCTCGAACTCCTCAGTTCACAAAAACAACTATTACATTGTTTATTTTTCCTCCGAATCCCAACACACCGAAACAAATATAGCTCTCGAAAAATCAAACCTAAATTGAAAAAAACGCACGATCACATATACATATGCACACTTAAACTCACGCACAAACAGAGTTCCTTTTTCCGCCGAATCAAATGAAATACGAAAAGTGAATATCTATAAATAAATAAATGTGAGGAATGTGCTGTTGAATTCTTCTTTCATGCTGTCCATGTTCATATCACATAAAAAGCATGTATCGTATTTTCATACCAAATCACCCATGCACATCCTCGACAAGAGGCTTCAGTCCTTTGCCACGTTTATTTCAAATCAAAAGAGCTAAAGTTAAAATTCAAATATTACGATTCCTCACACTAACAGCGCACAGTCGTACCGCAATCAAGTCGATTCGATATTATTATCCCCAACTGTGATGCGATATTTACTACGGTGCCTACACCCTAATATACCATACATGATTATACTGAAGCACTTGATCGTACATATACATATATAGTCTTATTTCTGTTCTCTCCATTGTTCTCTCGTTCTGGGTTTTTTCCTTT